TCCACGCGCTCGTACGTGGGCTCGGGCGCTTCTAAACACCTGATTTTACTTGTACATGAGTAGGGAACATTCCCATAAAGTTTCAGCTTTCTAGCTTTTCTACGCGCTCGTACCTGGGCTCGGGGCTCCTAAACACCTGATTTTGCTCGTACATGAGTGGGGAACCTCCCCATAAAGTTCCAGCTTTCTGGCTTTTCCCTTCTCCCGAGTTAGTAATTTCCGCGCCAAAACTCTCACATGTGGCGTACTTGGGTCTCGAGCGCCTCTAAACAACTGATTTCGTTTCTACATAAGTAGGGAACATTCCTATAAAATTTCAGCTCTCCAGCTTTTTTCGTCCCCGGGTTAGTGATTTTCGCGCCAAAATTCCCACGTGCCCATACGTAAGCCCCGGATACTTCTAAGCACCTGATTTTGCTCGCACATGAGTGGGGAACATTCCCTTAAAGTTTCAGCTTCGTAGCTTTTCCCGTTCCCGGGTCAGTGATTTTCGCGCCAAAATTCTCACGTGCCCGTGCGTGAGCCCCAAATGCTTCTAAATGCCTGATTTTGCTCGTACATGAGTGGGAAACATTCCCTTAAAGTTTCAGCTTTCTAGCTTTTCCCGTCTGATTTTGCTCGTACATGAGTAGGGAACATTCCCCTAAAGTTTCAGCTTTCTAGCTTTTCCCGTTCCCGAGCTAGTGACTTTCGCGCCGAAATTTCCACGTGCCCGTACGTGAGCCCCGGGCAATCCTGGGCAGCTGAATTTGAAAATTTTTAGTCGCGCATGGGCAGGGAACATTCCTCCAAAATTTCAACTTTCTAGCTTTCCTCATCTGCGAGTTATGAATTTTCCCGCCATAATTTTCACGTGCCCGTACGTGAGCCACGGGCAGTTCTGGGCAGCTGAATTTGAAATCTTTTTGTCGTATGCGGGTGGGAACATTTTCCCAAGATTTCAGCTTTCTAGCTTTCCTCGTTCCCGAGTTAGCGACTTTCGTGCCAAAACTTTCACGCGCCCGTACGCGGGGCTCAGACGTGCGTAAGGTTTGAAACTGCGATCCTGGGGTGGTACCTGACTAGGGAGCACACTGGCAAAATTTCAGCTTCAAAGGTTGTGCGGCTAGCGAATTGAAATGCCCGGACGGACGAACACACACACACACACACACACACACACACACACACA